CCCCCCCCCATCCTCCTATTCCAACCACACTGTGAAATTGAGAGATAATATATCACTGCTGAACTGACCAGCCAATTTGAAGACGAGCCTCCCAATTCCACTGAGCTGCCGGGGGAGGATGTCTCCAAGGTGCCAGCCTGTACGTCAGGAGAAAGACCACCACTATGATACAGACCATGAAGAGGAACCAACGGTTTTGAAAGCGTTGGGTGGGAGTGGGTAAAAAAAATATATATATAATTCTTGCTGTTCTTGTGTGTCTGTGGGTTCTTTTGTGCTGAATTGACTGTGGTGTTTGTTCATTTGTTTGTTTGTTTTCTACTCATTCATATACTTTTAAGAGGTGGCAGGGGGCTCTGGGTTCTGCTTCCCTTTTCCCCAATTTTCCGGATTGGGCCGTTGTGGGCAGAGTGGAAATTCCACAGGACAGAACGAAAGATGGGGGGGGGGGGGGGAAACATTTTTTAAAAATGATGGACTGAACGTTTGTGTGTGTGTGTGTGTGTGTGTGTTCATTGAAAAAAAAATCATTTTATATGTGTTGGCTCCCACAAAAATACAGATATTTATGGTATATGGCTCTTCATGTGACCTATTTAAGATGCACTGTGCGTGAATTGTATGTTATTTTTCAAGTTGTTAAGTTATTAGGCAATCCAGTCCAGTCAAGTGTTCTACTGCATCTTCTCCCCCTCTTCTCTTGTGCTGTTCCCCCTTTTGCTCCATCCCTCTCTTCTGATTCCTGATACCTGGAGGTGAGGCTATTTACGTGTTGTTTTTTGAAGTCTGTGTAATATGGACCCTCTGCCCTCAGTGTACCCCCCGTCGAGCAAACTCCTGTACATACATGTATATCCATTATGGGGAGACCCAGCAGCCTTATAAAAGGGAAATAAAAAAACTGCCTAAACCTCATCCTGTCCACCTTGCCTCAACCTCTTCATTGACCCTCTGCCAAACATTTCAATCATCTTACATTTGCAGGGCTGTCAAACTGGTTTTCATCGCAGGCCACTTCAGAGATATTGGAGTTGAAGTAGCAAAGCCAGAAAAATATCTCAATTGAGTAAGAATGCTGCATTGGTTGGAAGATATTTTCTTACAAAGATTCCAGTACAAGTTCCTGTGAACATGTTTGTGCAGGTCAATAATTTTAGATAACACTGAAAGTGAGTTTCTGCTTAGATCACTATTTTGATACAGAAAGAGCTGCCCGTGGTGGAAGGATGTTCAAATCCCATCAGGTTTCCTGAATTAAGAGAACCAAAGAAAAACACGAAGCCAAAAGAATTCGTCCACTCAGAGGGATGTCAACAAAGCTGCAATGGCAAAAACAGACTCAGTAGGGCAGCATTACTCCATTCCTTTCGTCTCTTTTAAATGGGGCACAAGAATATCTGATCTATGCTGAACTCGTTTGGACCGACACAGCACACCAAAGACATCCATCCATCCATTATCTGAACCGCTTTCTCCTCACGAGGGTCGCAAGCATGCTGGAGCCTCTCAGCTGTCTTCGGGCAGTAGACGAGGTACCCCCTGAACTGCTCGCCAGCCAATCGCAGGGCACACATTGCCAAACAACAACAGTACATGCTCACAATCACACCTAGAGACAATTTGGAGTGCCCAATCAACCTACCCTGCATGTTTTTTCTGGAATGTAGGAGGAAACCGGAGTACCCGGAGAAAACCCACGCAGGCACGGGGGAGAACATGCAAACTCCATCACTTCTGCACCATGAGGCGGACGTGTCGTAGTACCAGAACTAACCTGAATGCTGAAAGGCAGCACGGATCCACAAGGTATCCAAACTGCCGAAAAATACAAAGCGTCTCTGACAAAAAACAAAACACAAAGCTCGGCTAACTGCTGCTTCTCGGTCAAGTGTTCATTCCTACAATCTCTTAGTGTCGTTTTTATAAGGTGAATATTTTAAACATTGTTACATTTGACATCGCAAGCTCCCTAGATTGGCAGATCAACACATTTTTGCTCCATTAACACAGAATTTGTGAATGTTTCTGAATGCGTGGTATGAAGTGAAACAAGTCATGGTTTATTAAAAGCTTTCATTTCTTGGAAATACTAATATTCAAAAATCAATTATGTTAGAATATTTTTAAAACACCTTAAAACTATACAGTTCAATGTCTGAAAGTCCGCCACATAAATCCATGCTGAAAATTTCCCTCTTAACCCTGAACGCTTGCTGTTCATCCGACATCACCTTCCGACCATCCCAGCAACAGTTACAAGTGTTACGGTGATGACCAAGGTGTTGGCAAAGAGGCCCACACACGCGTTGCAATACGGCCGGTCACAGCAAGAATAGCTCATTGTGTAGACAACTCCTTGGTAGGAGAGATCGTGCTGCAGGCCGCAGACCCTCCTCGGCATGCAGCCGCTTGCGGACAGGGCGCTGTAATTGCCGTAGCGACCCTCCGCTTTATAGCACACCTCACCCCGGGGGCACTCGGTCACGATGGGCTGAAACTCGTACTCCTTCTCCAAGATGGGCCTGTAGAGGCAGCGCAGGTTGCCGCACAGCGTATAGGGCACCAAGTGGAAGACAAAGAACGCAGTGACATGCAGGAATTGCCGCATGCTCGCCCTGCAACAAAACCAGATGAGGTTTTCACAAAGCAGCATTTTTTTTCAGTTACATTATGGAATTTTCTTTAGTTATTTTTAAATTATTTTATGAGATAAGATTAACTTAATTTCTCCAACTTGAATGCTTTTTTTAAAGACACAAACATACCAATGTTCGTTTATTTCCTACACCTTCAACTTCAATACTCCAAATTGTCCATACGTGTGAATGTTAGAATGTGCGATTGGCTGGCCTCAAAGGCATGTATGGACAGACTCCAGCTCACCTGCAAATCTAACGAGGACATGCCTGAAAAAAAATGAATCGATGGATTTCTACATTACACTCGAAAAGTGAACACTTCAAGTCCCACGGCCAATGATGTGTGGAGTGTCGCTGTCACTGATATGTACGAGTGCAGTCAGTGAATTGGGCGATCATTGACAAAAGCCCCACACTCTTGGCTTATTTCGTACCGTGATTCCTCTCTTTGTAGCTACAACGATCGATTTACTTCTTCCCCTTACAATCACATAGAGTTGTTTGTAGTTAAAAAAAAAACAAAACCAAAAAAAAAAAAAAAACAGTAGAGTGTCACAATAATACCACCAGGGGTCGCGGTTTTTCCATTGTACTGAGTTGGTATGTGTGGGAGGCTCAATCGCCGAGTGTGTGGCTATCAGTTGTCATCGGATTTTTTTTTCGTTATTGTCAAGTTTAAGACCAAACCAAAGTGGCCCTCCGTAGAATAAAGTCATGAACAAACTTAAGGAAATCTGTACTTTCCGGTTTTTCATGTACTGTATTGAAATAAATTACACACAAGTGACACTGCAGGAATCGACTACAAAGGACACCTGCCCTCGTTTTAGTGAGTGTGGTGCATTATGGGATTTGTAGTATCAGCAATGCGTAGTGGCCATTTATCTATTCATTTTCTATAGCCATTGTTCTCATTATGAGCCCCTCCGAACTATCATTGGCCTATAACACACACACACACACACACACACACACACACACTCTCAATGACTTTAGCATGCATGAGTGCACATAAAATAATCCTCCCACAAGCAGAGCATGAAAATACAAACAAGAAGAAAATACAAACACCACACAAGAAGTCCAGACCTAGGTTTTAAATACCAAAGCTCAAAACTGTGTGGCAGACAACTCAAATGACTTAACCTTACCTTAACATGTTAAATGTTTTAAATTCTTATTATTACTTGGTCCAGTGTGAACATTTTCTTCAAAATGAATCCCATGACACCAGACCAAGTAATCCATTTGAGCATTCGTGAGTAAAAGCAATGAAGTCCGTTAATCATGTGCCACACAAACAGGTGTTGATGCTTCCCAAGAAGTCTCGCTTTCAGCCTGTTAATGTGCACAGTGATTTCATCATTGCATACGTACAGCCATACACATCAAATCAAAACTTACATGGTGGCCGCCTTCGATGTGGAACTTGAGTTGGGAAAGCAAAGCCTCGCAAAGCTCGTCCCGGTCAGGCCTGGCTGCACTGCATCATCTTCGTACAGAGGCCACACCTTCACTTTCACCCACACCTGCTTGAATTGAAGTTTCTTTCCAATTAAAAAAAAAGTGATAAAGCAATTGGTGAGGTACGTCAATTAGATATGTTGTACGTACTCAAAGTTTTAATGATATTGCATTAGAGTACAAGTGTCAAACTCAAGGCCAGATGAGATTGTTCTTTTTCATTTGGCAGAAGATATGTATAAAATTGCAATGTCCTTCAAATTTAACAGATATTGCGAGTGTTTTGTTTTCATGTAAATGTAAATTGAGCCATTGAGAACTAGGGTGGGCGAACCCCATTTTGTCATGTTGAGTTGAAGAAAAGAACAGAGAAACCTGGTAGTTTTAATTTTGACATATAGGCAGGCCTTCATTACATTTTTTTTCTAGCTTGGGTGCAGTTGTTAGTTAAAATGATGTTTGGACTTTGACCACTCTATCACTAAACATTTCCTGGCAGCTAAATGCAGAATAACTCTTGCAAAGTGAGAGAAATGAAGTTAGCCCACTCTAGTTGTCTGTGGTTCAAATGAATGATTGTTGGAGACTTATTGGGGGACCACCATATTTGGTCTTCTCACTTCAAACTTGATTTGTTCATCATATATTGAACAATCAATTGCTAGATTAGCTGTGTATAGTATATCTAATATTATTTGACAGTCACATAATGAAAGGCCCTGTAAGGGAAACCATAGCTATGATGTGGCCAGTGACAAAAATTAGATTGACTGCCCAGTATTAAAGTTTATCAGGTACACAGTTGATTTAACAGGTTCTGTTAAATAAACCTCTCATACAGGCTGCCATTTTTTTGGAAAGAATATCCAATATCCAAACTCGGCAAAACAGGATTAGGACAGAAGACAATTTGTGCACTGTGCCTGGCACAAGAAATTTATGTCGGTGTCAAAACGAGGAGGGATAACCATTTTTTCAGAGCCAACTTAAATCTACTCGTTTGAATTATTGGCACTTCTTTTTTTGTGATCAGTGTCATTATTCTCATAACAAAGTTGCCCACGTTATATTTGGATGTTTTCACAGATCCCACCCCCCCCATAAAAATCTGTCTTCTTGTTGCATCAATTCAACCTTTGTCAATTCCCATGACCTGGATGACGGAATCTAACATTTTTTTTCCCCAAACACATTACTGTTTTTTTTTCCATATTGTGACTTAAAATGACTGGCAGTGATGCCATTTAATTTAAATTACAGGTTTCAAACTCATGGCCCAGATCTGGCCTACCACATCATTTTATGGCCTGTGACAGCAAATCCAGTCCATCAATTTATTGACTACAGTATTTGCAGTAATGGACGATTCAACATTTACATGGATTGGTTACAGTCCTGAGGAAAACCATAATTCCATTACGCTTGGAAAAAATATATATGTATAGACAACCAAGATATGTTAAATTGTCAAAAGACTTTATAGACATCTCATATTGATTGACACCATTAACAACAAAGCGGAAGGTTCAAGAGGCTTTTATTAGTTTTCTAATCCAGGAGGAGGGTTGACAAATCCACCTTTTTTTTTCTCTCTGGAGCAATACACATGATTGTGATTCCTGCTAAACAATCACTTCATGATGATGCAATAAAACAGGTGAGCGCCCATGGCTACCAGGCCTCTCCTTCAGTCACACACACACACACCGCAAACACATTTACAACACAGAGACCGAAGGTTCAGGGCTACCGGGGTCATCTCCACAAGACCCCCAGAGCTTCTCCCTCAGAGCGCGAGTGGCGTTCTCCCCCTTTTCTGTCAAAACGCCCAGCAGCATCTTCAGTACGTCTTGGGACGTGGGCGTCATGTTGCACTTGTCCTTACAGCAGCAGCTGTGCCTCAGTCGGTACTCCACCCCCATGTGAGAGACGGACAGGCGGTTGCCGCACAACCGGGCGTCCACACAGCCCTGGGCGGACAGCACGTGGACGACGCCGTAGTAGGCCCTGGAGGTGGCGCAGCGCTGGCCCGGCATGCACTCCGTGGTGAGGTTGGTGCAGGGGAACTCTTTGGGCTGCAGGGGGCAGAAGTGACACAGGAGGCTAGTCGGGTGGACCAAGGCTGGGAGGAGAAGCGCTGCGGCCATCATGATGCAAATCAGAGTCAGGCTGCAGGAAGAAGAAAAAAAAAAAAAAAAAAAAAAAAGCACTGTGGTTGGAATCACAAAAATTAAAATAAGAGACCATGCAGAAGTGATCACCTTCTCTCTGGAGTACATTTGTAGGCATGTTCGAGTACTAGTTTTTCATATTAACATAACTCCCACATTTATTGTCATTCATTCTGAAGCTTTATTTGCAGTTAATGAGAAATGATCAAAAGCACAGCTGCAACTCATGATTTGAACATTTTAATCAGTTGATTAAAACATTTCATTTCCACCCCTTGATTAAAAAAACATTTTTAATTGAAAATATAGAAAATGGATGTCAGAAAAAAAAGGAACAATGTTTAAAGCAGTTATTTGCAAATGCCTGTTTGATTCAACACATGGATATACAGTAAATCAGATGGCTGTCACGCAAGACAGAAATCTGACATTTACCTACCGTTGAAGAGTTGAAATGCCCAGCATTTAGACAAATTTAACTTAATGTCTCAACAATGAATCGACCAACAAAAGAGCAGTTTTATTTGAATAGTTACCATTATATTTACACTTCATAAAAAATCCCCATTAAGCTTATTGGGGAGTTGGGAGTGAGTGAGTGAGTGAACAGAATCATTCACTCATTCCCTTCTCTCTGATTGCTAGACGATGAATTTGGTTTCTTTTTGCCCTTTAATATAGCGGACTAGATCGTTCACATTCGATCACTTTTCATTTGTGGATTACCTCTGCTTTCTTTGCGCTGCCATTTTAGCATCAGAGGTCCTCGATGAAAATGCTGCAACTGCTCCTCCTGCTGCTGCTGCTGATGATGATGGTGACGATGATGAAGGCATGCAGCCTTCGAAGATTATACACCTTGTGATTGATCGCCAAGTAGCGACAGGTGTGTTTCACAGCTTTCAGACACGTGCCAGATCATTTGTGGACGAAGTAGGTCAAATAGGTAAGTGTTTATTTTGATGATCAAATAACAATTAGCATGTGTGCATGTATGTATTTGTTTAATTCTTTTAATTATGATTCACAAATTGAAAAAAAAAGAAATCAACAAATGCTGTTAGATGAATGAAAGAATGAATGAATGAAAAAATACAAATTAGTAAAAAAACAAAAAAAAAACTTAATTTTAAATATTCAATAAAACATAAATGTATGAGCAAAGTTGATTTGGTTTTTTTTTCGGGACCGGTTGACCGTTTCAAGTCGGGCATTCATATCATGTGCTAATGTCGCCATCTAGTGTAAGTTCCTGAAAATGCATTAGATGACCAAAGGTAATGGAACACCAGATCCGTTTTCACCTGAGCCTTTTCATCTAGAAGACCATTTGTCATGTGACTCATGTCATACTGAAATAAACCTCCATCCTAAAAAATTATGATGAATATTATTTTTTAATTAATTTTTCATATTAATGGTATGTTGGCGGCACGGTGTGCGACTGGTTAGCATGTGCGCTTCACAGTGCAGAGGTGCAAGGTTCAATCCCAGCTTTGGCCTTCCCTGTGTGGAGTTTGCATGTTCTCCCCGGGCCTGCGTGGGTACTCTGGTTTCCTCCCACATTCGAAAAACATGTAGCCTAGGTTAATTGAACACTCTATATTGTTTCTGAGTGTGACTGTGAGAGCCAATAGTTGTTTGTCTATGTGTGCCCTGCGATTGGCTGCCAACCAGTTCAGGGTGTACCCCGCCTTCAGCTGGGATCGGTTCCAGCACGCCCCTGACCCTTGGGAGGATAAACCTGATTTGAAAATTCATGGTGAATGGTGAGTTCGTTCACAGCCAAATTATTCAATCCAAGTATTCATTCTTGACCTTGTTCATGCTGGGACACAGAAATCGTCGTCAACCCAGACATGCTTTAAAACAGTATGTAAAAATAAATAAATAAAAGTTTGGTACTTCACAGATTTCGCCGATCGCAGGTTATTTTTGGAACGTTACACCCGCAATAAACGAGGGACCACTATATACATATTAAAATTGTATATTGAATAAATGGCTAAGATTGTGCTGTAAACATGTTTTTAATCAACTAATCTGTTATTTTCATCACTAGTCCCAATCAGCCTGTCCATATTGCCTGATTGATTCAGAGGTGTGATGTTGAAGCAATCCAACAGTTGACACATTTGACCTTTTGCCTTTGGTTTTAATAACACATTATTTATTATTGATGTTATGAAGTATCATTTATGTATTTCAGACTCAATCGCCTCAATTTACAGTAAATGAAGTTGTCCTTCCTTGTACAGTGGTTCCTGTAAGAGAAAAATATTTTACATGAGCTCATGTATTCAGACGACTTCATTAAGTACACTTGCCCAACATCCATAAAAAAGCTGTCTCATTAAATTCTGTCTTTCAAAGATAATTAGGTTTCATTGACACTGTCAGATGGATCATAATGTCCCTAAAGTTATATTATGTAGTTTAAAACATGTTTTTTTTCTATTAACTGTAATAAGTTCATTGTAAAGGCAGAATTTTTGACGCAGCTTTTATATTAAATCTCATTTGATGCAAGTGGCCCCAATGTTGTGAATACATTATGTTGCCCTTTGTGAGATTGTGTCCATACTTTCGACTCTTCGTCAATCTCCAGCTGACCATCCACCCAGCGGTGATCTTCCTCTGCAGGGTCGTAGCTGTACACAGGAATCAGCTGGTGGCGCAGCTCATCTAATCTAACACAACAACCCACAGAATGAGAAATAAAAATTCAAACTCGTAAAAAGAAAAAACAAATGCGGATCTTGAATTTTAAAAAAAAGTCTTACCTCATTCTCTTCTTGATAAACACAACCTGAGGGGGAGCACAGCACTGCTGAAGTCATGTGACTGACAAAGAGAAGACGAAATGTCGAAGCCTTCTTACCAAGGCTGCCACACTCACGAGCAGTGTGAGGAGGACGAAAGGGACAAGAGCATAGTAGCCAACAAATCCTCTATCAGCATTTTCAGATGAAACGTGAGGAGCACTTTGGTTGTAATACATTTTGATCTGCTCACTTTCTTCCCGGGCGGCCTCACATGGCACCTTTGTGACACATTCAGCGGTGCGCCTGTCGCTTCTGTGCCACTGTAGTGTATCAGGGCAGGGTCACCGACCTTGATGAGAGCTGAGAGCTACTTATTGGGAACTGATTCATAAGATAAGAAAACCTTTATTAGTCATGCAAAGGGCTATCAGTTTGGTACACACCCCTGAAAAGAAAAAAAAAAACTTTCATTATCACTGGCAAGCTGGATAACATACATCATAACAAAAAAAGCAGAGGTGAGCAACATCGTGCATGTATTGGAGAGTTGAATGAAAACAATGCTGGATCACTATGGAGTGCAGAGCGGTATTGTCATGTCAAAACATTGCATTAACTTTAAACCTGTTTAATTACATTCCTGGGGAGGGAGTGGGATCAAGCAGCCACCTGATTTGTTTATTTACACACACAAAGGAAGTTCTGGCGTGTGCCAGTGCAGGATTTTTTCCACTTTTAGTGATCGTTTCAATTTCCCTTCCCATCAAACTTGAATCGGACGACTATTTAAAATAAACGGAATCGAGCTTGTTTTCCCAGCACAGGTTTCCAACATGCGGTCCTTTGGACATCGTTATCCCAAATGATACTATCCATCCATTTTCCGATCGCGGGGGGTGCTGGAGCCTATCCCAGCTGTGTTTGGGCAGTAGGCGGGGGACACCCTGAACCGGTTGCCAGCCAATCGCAGGGCACACACAGACGAACAACCATCCACGCTCACACTCACATCTAGGGGCAATTTAGAGTGTTTAACGAGCCTGCCTGTATTTGCATGTATTTGGAATGTTGGAGGAAACTGGAGTACCCGCAGAAAACCCACCCAGGCCCGGGGAGAACATGCAAACTCCACACAGGGAGTCCGGAGCTGGAATTGAACTCGGTACCGCTGCACTGTGAGGTCGACGCGCGAACCACTGGATCACCGGGCCCCCCAAAATGATAATAATAACATAAATTTACTTCTTCTTATTATTATTACTGTCATTATAAATACTGTCATGTGATCGACACTATCACAAATATAGCACTGACAGATCGAGGAAGTCCTTCCTCATGCCACACAGCTTTTTAATTTCATCCTGAGACGAAAATGCTAATATTGTCAGTATCCTGAAATATTCACTTTATTCTGTCTGTTCACACCCACAGGAATGATGACTGTTATTTTATTCTATTAAAACAAGAAGGAGACTTGTAGAGATGCGGTCGTTTGCAAACCTAGCTAGCTAGCGAGCTAGCTTGCGAGTACCCTTGTATGGAATCATGGATAGCCTAGTATTTGGAAGTTTTTACAGGTTGTTATTTCTGAGCTTTTCTGAGCTTTTTTTTTAATCGACTGAGGCCTTATAATTGCTGACTTTCTTTTTTGTTTAACCAAATAATTAGACATTTTGAAGGTTTAAACCAGGTTCGCCAGTAATGTGATTTTCTCTGAATGTCATAGAAGTGGTCACTTGAAAATGTAAACTCTGGCAGAGAGTCATACGAGTAACGTGTCATATTAACACACATCAAGATCAGTGTCTTCACAAAACTGAATATCATTCATTTTAATTGAAGTGGAGCAAATTTGTTATTTCATAAGTCTGTGTCAAACTGCAGAAGTAGATGTCAGTTTCAAAAAGGTTCGTGAATAATCACCCCTGACTTAAACCTTACCTAATTTTGTGTGTTCATTATTTGTGTTGTAATTTTGACCCTCAAAAACGCTTAGCGACTGAAATTTGGAAATCATAGCAAGCAAACTAAGTAGACCAACAGAATAGTGTCAAGAATCAGTGCGAAAAGACACAGGATAAGTTTAATTTGGACTTTTTTTTATCTTCCCGGATTGTCCCCACTTCTGGGTCACAGTTTTGGCTGAAGTTTTGGCCTAGGTTTGACGGACTGATACCCCTCCTAACTCCAAGGCTAGATTTTTATGATTAATTCAATACATTATTGTACTTGTTTATTTTGCTTTAATCATGAGACAACTGAATTCTCCCAATAAGGCAGTCAAAACATTGTATCTTCTTCTCCCAGCCAATAAGTGAAAAAGGTAATAAATGAACATCTTTCAGTATAAAACTTCAATTTGAACTTCACATCTCTGTGATAATGTGTTTCCTCCAGCAGAGAGCGTGTCATCGGTGTTGTAGACCAAGTGAGCGAAGAAAAGGAAAGTGCATCCAGTGGGAGGAGTAAACACATGAGTGTCACCGCAAGTGTTCAGGTCTAACCCGCTGAGCATGATGGCTTGAATTAACAAGAAACATGGGACCACAAACAATACCTCTGATGGTAGGTCACGAGCAACTCGGTCTACTTTCATTTTATTTGCAATAAGGGAGCATTTGGATGATTTTTTTTAACCTGCTGATAAATATCATAAATGTGTGGAGATATTTTAATTACATTTGGGAGTTGAAGTAAACGTCCTCCTTTGAAGCAAATGGCCCAATGTTGTGACTCCTGTGTTTTTCAGTAAGATTATCATGTTTTGGCTTGTGAACCTTAGAGGTCCCGAGAAATTGTGGAGCAGTGCAGCATTTCCTGTTAAGATTTGAAAAGCTGTTAATGATTAGACTCAACCCTTAAGCTTTGGTGACACTCAAAAAGTTAGGGATATTCAGCCCTTAGGTTGAATTTTAGGATAAACCTAAAATGCATTACAAACTATACAAATGAACTTAATTTGACTTCTAAATACTCGTGTCCAACTGTTCAATGCTTCTGTAGTTTCAGCATAACTTTCTGTTTGCTAACATAGAGCTGAATGGCACAACATGTTGGATCCAGGAATCACCCAACACTTTTCCTGGTTCAATTCGAATCTATATTCAAGTAGTCCTCCTCAGCTTGCTGCTCATCTTTTCACATCACAATTTATCATCAGCATGTTGTAACAGAGATAGAGCGACACTAAAACAGTCACCGAAAGGACGTGTAATAATTTTTCATGTCATTTTATGCAGCGTGCCCCACTGTGACCTGACATACTGCGCCATCAAGACGCACTCGGGTTACAATGTGATGGATCCTGCTGGACCGCAACCAGGACCACCCCCTATACCAGCACCTAGACTGCTCCACAGACAAAACGCAAAACGTGACTTCTCCGCATCTGGGACAGAAACTGAATTTTCGTCTCATGTTTACGAGGAGATCAATGTTAATGCTGAAAGTTATCAAGTACCAAGAGTCATACCCCCGCCTCTTCCGAAATCTCGGCCTGAATCCCAGGCTCAAGGCCGAGGACGTCCCCAAGGTGCTCAGCAAGAGGGATATGTGGCTCTCCGACCCCGTCGTGCCGCCCCACCGGTCCCGAGTGCAAAGGCTCCAAGTGGACAAGACTACATTTCCCCACCTGTACCCCCCAGGAAGCACGCGCCCCTCGGCCACAACAGAACCAGGTTCTCCTGTGATCTGACTGTCCCTGTCCACAAATTGGTTCGGTCCAACACACAAATAGATGACCTGGTGAGTAACCGATAGTGTTTTTCTGCCTTGACCAGGATTTAAAATTGACAACATGAAGGCCTAAACGATTGTCGTTCACATTAGGATAAATGGCTCATCAAACTGACAGACGCTCCAGAAGGCAGCACAACAGTGATGGCTGCATTCTGTCAGGCCACATCCAGGTAAGATGTCGCCTGATATACAAGGCATAAAATACTGCATAAAAAAGTCTTGTGCCAGCACTGGCTTTGTTGTTTTATTTGTTGTTCATAATTTGTCTATTAATCACTTCTACTATGACCTGAAAAAAGGATGCTACTTCGACATAAGTACATGTTTAATCCAGAAAAATAAGATAAAATATTATAGATAAATCTATCCATTTAAAGCTTCTGCCTTTCTCACCACATCTTGCACACACCCACAATGAGGCACTCTAAAGTAGGCGTGTCCGTAGATTACCCAAAGCATTTATAAAGGGTGTCGCCTGAGCAAATCTAGCTAACTGCACATCACTATGCGCCAGAAAACCAAACAAAGGTGCTGTTATAGATTTTAAAGGGCACATTTCCGGAAATTATCTTAAAACGTGTCAGGTCGTTAGAAACAAATCTCTGAATTCACTTTAAAGGATCTTTAGGGTCTTTTGGTGAAGGTCTATTTAGTCGTGTATTATACCATTGCTAAAGTAGCAAGTTTAATGGTCGGCCTTTTTGAACCTGATAATCTGCAGTAATTTCCCAAATAAAATCTGAGTCAGGTGAAAAGAATGTCTTTGTTTTGTGTGTCTGGGTTTCGATTTGACAGGCTGCTGTCGCGCTACAAGCACACGCAAGTGGCTCACAACACAGGTGCGGTATGTGCTCGAGTGTCACGCGTCCATCCCGCGCTGCTGCAGCAGGTCGAGCTGACTGTCAACGTGGCGATCGAAAATAAAAGTCACCAGCTTCCAATCCCAACCACAGGTACAGTATTGTCCATCAGTCAAGATGCCACACACACACACACACACACACACACACACACACACACACACACACACACACACACACACGCGCACACTCTCTTACAAAAGGCAAAAATAAATCCGTCACTTTTTGTGAGTACACCAGCATATGTGGAGTTGAATTTTTGTCATTTGTACAGTGAACAGGACAGTGCAAAGTTTCATCGATGAGATCTTCCAGCTGTTCGAGTTCGCTCGCAAATCCTCCGGCCATTATGTTCTGAAGTTGTGCAACTCGGAGGAGTATCTCCACAAGTAAGTCGTTACATTGGGCAAACTTCTTATTTCCTCCACTTTATACTGACACATCGGCGCCGCACCGTCAACAGTGACGAGCTGCTGGGTGTGCACGAGGTCGTTCAAACACACTGCAAGTTCAACATGGACCTTCCCCTCCGACTGCTCCACTCCAGCAGCCTAAGACACAGTCTGGCCAGGGATGTGAGTCACCACCCACTGTCTCAAAGGTTAACCATTGACCAACAATGAGGCCTGCCCTGCAAACTGATTATCAGGGTTGGTGTGGCTGTGAAAACACTACCTGCTTTGATTCTTTTTTTTTTTTTTTTTTTAACTTTGTTCTGTATACAAATCACATACTGGCTGCTGGCATTTGCAGGACAGATGGAGAAAAAAACACTCTGATCTATTACATGGTAATGTGTTGGGATGAACAATTAATTGAATTCATATCATTTGTTCATCTCTATTATTTTTTCCCCATACATCATAAAAATTGTTTAAAAAAATGTTCCAATGCAGAACTGTCACAATAATGATTTAAAAATATTCATAATATGGACAAGGTTTTAAGTAATATTTTAATGTTCATCTTTAGGATGAACCAGAACAGATATTGTATACTTAACCAAAGATTAATGGGAATCAATTCATAATATAACTGTTTTTTTTTTTTTCCCCTTGAGGAAGGGGACGACAAACCTTCGGGTCATGTCTACGAGCTGGTGAGACCCGTCTGCGTCTTCAACGCTTGCAAGTAAGATACCGAGCAGTCACTCCCTTTACCGGGCTTTGCTCGGCATCCAATACTACTCTCATGATGACATCTCACCGGGTCACAAGCTGTGTGTGTTTACAGGAAAAATTGAAAAAAGAAGATGTGTTCGTACATGTGTGTTTGCATTTCTCAGGTTGAGTCTGCAGAATGTGCTCTTAAGCTACAGCAGGGAGGAGGCCATGCTGATGAGAAATAAAGTGAGTCGAGACAGCTCACTGTTCACGTGTAAAAATAGATGTGAATCAAGCGCTGCAAAATGTCTCAATGTGTACAGTCGGGGATGAACGTCAACGTCATGGTGACCCACGTTCGCACCATTACCGATCTCCTGTGCGGCCTCTCAGGCGAGGAGCTGGAGGATGCCATTGGCCGGCTCAACAGAGTCAACCCCATACCTCTAGTAAGGGGGCACGTCCATGTCACGCAGCCTCATTTTTTTTTAAATCACAATCTGCTGGATGTTTGTATTTTTCCACATCATGTCTTTCATTTTCCATGACTCTGATGCATGTATTATATGTGTCCTCGCCTCTTGTTGCAGAGCTATGAGGAAATGTCAGAATGCGAGAGTGGTGAGTAGATGTCTTTTACACACACACACACACACACACACACACACACACACACACACACACACTATATGTTAACGGTTTGTTTCTGGCTCCGCCCTTCCTGTGTGGAGTTGGCACATTCTCCCCGTGCTTGGATGGATTTTCTCCGGGTACTCCGGTTTCCTCCCACATTCCAAAAACATACATGGCGCATGAAAGGAACACTCTTAAGTTGTCCCTTTGTGTGAGTGTGAGCGTGGATGGTTGTTCGTCTATGTGTGTCCTGCGATTGGCTGGCAACCAGTTCAGGGTGTGCCCCCCCCCCGACCCTTGTGAGGATAAAGCAGATAGGAAAATGAATGAATGAATGAATGAATGAATGGTCAAAATGAAAGTTTGATATTTTTATGTGACTACATGGATGGATTAATCATTCAGATAATCGCTTCCAAAAAGCTTTGTTTGCAACAACCCTAAAATACATGGATATAATTGCATGCACTATGTAAAAAACATATTTGTGTACAGTATTCCTTGACTAAACCTTTTATCATTAAGCTGTCATTCAAAACTAGTCACATTTTTGCCTTATGTCTGCTCTAAATTCATATCAAGAGGATGACTGCCACTGATAATCGTTGTGTATCTTGCAGCCATGCGGGTGCTGCACGAGTCCCTGCTGAAAGTCATGCAGAGCTTCTTTGCAAACTTCCTGTCCAACTTCAGAACTCTGGACATCGCCAGCAAACCTCAGACTCGTGATGTGGAAGATAACGGTGAACTCTTACGGTTCAACGTGGCCGCGCTCTACAAACTGCAACCCAGCTGGCTGGCAACGTATGACATTAGCTGTGCAATGAGCACAACACCACACTAAAAACACGATCCTTATTCATTGTTGTTGTTTTTTTTTCTAGATTCGACTGCTTTTCTATTTCCTGTGAGCTGACCTATGGGGAAACTCAGATTTGCTCAGCCGTGGTTTCTGAAAACATCAGCACTACTTTATCATTTGAGAAGAAAATACGTTGCAACCGCATGTGAGTTCACTTTCCACTTTGGTTTGACAGTCCGGTACAATGGAGCCTTTAAGTGACGATCAAGTCAAAAGTGTTGTGAGCGACTGGCTGAGACATCAGTCTAAAGGTTTTTACGTTGAGGGAATATGGAAGCTTGTGCACAGATGGGTAAAGTGTGTGACAGTGTCGGGAGACTACGTTGAAAAAAAGGAAAAAGTAAGATTCAAAAAAGGAAAAAGTAAGATTCTATCTGTACTGTATTACCAGTCCTAATACCAAAAAAATTCACCTTATTTATTGAATGACCCTTTTAGATATAGATTTATTAGATGTGCTTTCAACTCTCCTTGTTATTAATACATTGTTTTATTGTTTGTATATACTGTGTGTGTGTGTGTGTGTGTGTGTGTGTGTGTGTGTGTGTGTGTGTGTGTGTGTGTGTGTGTGTGTGTGTGTGTGTGTTTTCATTGCAACAAAGAGACAAACTCAAAAGTAATTTGATTTACATGTATGCAACATAACTGTCTGCTGTAGGGTCCTTGAATGGCTATTAGGAATAAAATTATTGAAATAAACATCGTAGGGAAAAACTTTCTCACGTTTAAAAAAAAAGAAGAGATTTTAGGTATTAGGCAGTTTTAAGGGAGCCCCTGACTACCCGAATGTAACTCTTTGATTAATGTAACTGACTCCAAACATACTGCAAATGCAAGCACAAATAGTCACGGTTGTGTGTTTGGTTGTCAGGATGGCGTTTCCTGTCCCAGTAAAGCAGTTGCCCTACGAGAGCATGCTGACCTTCCAGCTGATGTGCTCAAAGCGAGGAAAGAGCCCCGAGCTGCTGGCATGGGCTGTCCTACCTCTTTACAGCAACAGGTACTGGGGCATCTTCAACACATCACACAGATACTATATCGCATTTTTTTCTTCAAGGAACAGTTCCCTACATTTTCCACTACGCAACAAAGCGAATGTTTACTAAACTTTGTGTAGAACCCTGGCCAGAGGGACCATCCTGCTCAGTTTGTCCATGTTGGCCATGCTGTCTTCTCCCCCCTCCCCGGCCCTTTTTGACAGCCACCGACAAACAGTGGGGGTCATCATGCAGGTGGGGAGTCTCCAAAAAACTCTGGTGCCCTCCGGTAGCAAAAACAAACAAAATCAACAGCATCACTCATCATCTCTTCCATGCAGGTTGACTTTCCAGATGAGGTCACCTGGACATATCAGAGGCCTGTCGCGCTCCCCGGGTCCTTCATATTCTCTGCGCCTTGTGAAGATCTGGAAAAGAAAATGTCACAAGTATCCAGGAAGCTCTGCCTTTGCTTGTGAGTTGAAAAAAAAAAAAAGTTTCCGCGTGAGATCAGATGCGTCTTTCAAATACATTGCAGAATTTCAAATGCATTGATGATAATGAATGATTTTACGTTCTCCATCCCGCATGGCTAAATGTGAGTGGGGCGCCCGTGTCACAGAGATTGAAACTCATTCGTCAACTCATTTCTTTCTGCGTCCAGTCTTTCAGAAAATGAGAAGAGCTTCCTGTGGAGTAAACGTCACAGCTGTGACAAAGCAAGCACCTTCCTCCACCTGGTGTTAGGTGGCGCCCCCAAGTGGCAGTCCGAGGACCTGACAGAGATCTACACAGTTGTGGACCGCTGGGCCATCCACCTTCCCGAGGAAGCCCTCTTCCTGCTCACCGATAAGTAGGCAGCAGCTCTCATCCCTGCCATGATTCCGCATTGCTAATTTACTTCATTGAAGAAAAAGAAAATTGTGCTTCTTTTGTTCAGTTTTCCGGACCAGACAGTGCGTGAGACCGCTGTGCAGTATTTTGTACAAATACCCGATGATGAGCTGGAGCTGTTTTTGCCGCAGTTGGTCCAGGTTAGCACTGAAGCAAGCACACCTCATCATTCCCTACTTCACCGCTATTTAGTTCATCATCATCATTATTGCTGCTGTAAATTGGGAATTTCTCCATTGCGAGACAAATAAAGGTTTTCTGATCTTATCATCATCATCATCATCTTGTTGTGCAGGCTCTGAAGAGCGAATGGGAGCTAGATGGAGCTCTAGTCATGCTGTTGTTGGAGAGATCTATAAAAAACATTCGGATTGCCCATCAACTCTTCTGGTGAGTAACCAAACTCAACCATGAATGTGTGTTTTTATCCCCTTAAAGTTGACGAAAATAAAACTTGTCAACACAATAGTAATTATAAACACACAATACATACACACTGTCAAATTAGGTCATGTAAAAATGCAGCTGGGCAGTGGCAGGCATCAGGGATAGTAAGAGAATAAGAAGTGGAAGTAAGAAATATTATTAAAATATACTTGGGCTGAACGATTTTGAAAAATAATTGAATCGTAATTTCCTACTCCATTTTGCAATAGTGATTTAATCTTTTTTTTTTCAAAGACCTCTTCCTGTGTATTTTTTAACAAACAAGTTCTCTGCTGGAACAATGTCAAGCTTGACAAAATTTTACAGCCACTGTGAAAAATGCACACACAGCTTGGAAGCTAAACTCACCTTTTAAACCCAATTTTGAAAATGTGTTTTTAAACCAGAGGTCATCCATTCTTACATTCGAATTTAAATTTCTCAATTTTCTCAACACTGTTAAAAATCAAGACCCTGCGTGGAAGCCGAGCTCTCCTTTGAATCCTTGTCTGCTTTAAAAACCTGATGTCACAAATCCCGAGAGCTGAATTTTTCGTATATATTTTGGGACAGCTGTAAAAAAATCGCATCAATTTTGAAACCTTAAACGCACCTTTGAAAGCCCTACTGATCAATTGCTGCAGCTGTCTATTCTTTTTTTTTTTTTTTTTTTAACGTGAATGTTAGGCTTAAGATAAAATAAAGGCAAATGAACCATGAATTGATATGAAAGACAATATATCTATTTCAAGAAAAGTTGTTAACTTACGAAAAACTTTGGGTCCTATATTCATGCTGATCACAAGTCGAGCGCAAAGCGCAATCTAACTGTGCGCATGAGTTTTCTTTGCTTTGCAGTTTTGCTTGACTTTACACCGGTAGAATTGGGCTCAACGGTGTGTTTGGGAAGTCGTCTTTTCCAGCACACCATCGCATCGTCCCTCATTTGCATCAAAATCAGGGTGTTCTGAGCGCAGTGCGCCCGAGTCCGCTGTGTTTGACATTGCGTAAACAGAAATAGACTCGCTGATTCCCATACATGACGTTGGCAGGTAGGATCTCCCCTTGCGGATGATGTAGTCGGCGTGATGGACTTGCACCCCCGATCGTGCGCCCCCGATCGTGTGCCTTTGTGTGACACCAACACCCCCCACAGTCCATCCACACACGCGCTACAAATGAATTTCAGTGTTACTGGCCATTTCTGCTTATGTGGCCAGGCTGCTGGAGGATGCTTGCACAGAGCCGCACTACCAGAGCTGGTACAGTAAAGTGCACGCGGCCCTGCGTTTCTGCTGCGGTCGAGCACTGCGGGAAGAGCTGGATCGAGAGACCCGCTTGCTGTTGGCACTCGTGCAGGTGGCAGAAAAGGTCCGGACGTCGGAGAAGACGCGACGGAAGGTCTTTTAAACTCATTCGCAGGCTCGGACTCAGCAGCAAGTCAAATATTGTTTATCAGCGTGTTGTTTATCTTGCAGACCGTTCTAAACAAAGAAAAGACGAAGATTGAGAAGTTCTTCAGTGATGGGGGAAGCTGCCGCCTCCCTCTGGATGTTGCGGTCCACATCAAGGGGGTGGACCTGGATGTAAATGCCCCACAGCATCATCACAATCCAAACCACACATCTATGGACGAATGTTTACAATGTGATCTTTTTTTTTTTCCAGGCCTGTAAGTTTTACAACTCCAATACCTCTCCTCTGGGGGTGTCCTTCATTTGCACTGACCCATTGGCTAAGAACATCACTGTGATATGCAAGGTTGGTCATAAAGTAGATTTATTTATTGATTGATACTTGTTGGCTCTGTCGTTGTGACCCATTAAGGAGAACTGTGAGCTGAAGTTTTTTTTTTTCCCATCATTCATTTGGACGTGCTCTCTTCAGACAGGAGATAGCCTGCGCCAAGACATGCTAGTACTGCAGATGGTTCGTATGATGGACAGAGTGTGGCTCCAAGAAGGGCTGGACTTGCGAATGGTCACCTACAGATGTCTCTCTACTGGCGCAACTCAGGGTGACTTGATCAAATCAATACATTTCTTCAGATAGGATTTCCAATATTGTCGTTTCCAAATCCTGTGCCTCAGCACGTTAGTGTCAGTCAGGTGTGTTGCAGGGAAATTATTTGATTCCGCATAATCCACTTGACGCTTTTGCTTTAATTTGTGAATGATGACTTGACATAGATGTGTTGTATTGTGGCAGCGAACTCAATTCAACTCACTCGAAGCTGCTAGCAAGATTTGAATGAAGCTTCACTTTTAATTCATGATGCAGCGTGGCCAAAAATGAAATGTTACCGCCTTAAATATTTTTTATACTCTATAGAAATAACAAACATTAAAGTATCATCATGAGTCACTGTAATTTTTTTTGAACACTGCTGAAAAAAATAGTACCTTTCAGATTAGGATTGCATCCGTGCCACTCGTGTTTTATTATTTGTTCATATATGCCGGCTGACAGGCCTCATAGAAGTGGTTCCTGAGGCGGTGACGCTAGGGAAGATTCAGCAGGAGTGGGGTCTCGGTGGCACCCTTCGACAGGACACCCTGGAGAAGTGGTTCCACATGTGGAATAAAACCAAGGATGACTACGAAAAGGTCAGCAGACATCCCAAATTCCTGATAAAAGTCGTCCTCCGGGACTAATTGTTAACCTCCGCTCCTTTTTTTTTTCCCACTTGTTTTCAGGCTGTGATGAACTTCATTCACTCATGTGCAGGTTGGTGCGTGGCCACCTTCATCCTGGGGATCTGCGACCGCCACAACGACAACATCATGTTAAAGCACAGCGGGCACATGTTCCACATTGACTTTGGCAAGATCATGGGCAATGCGCAGAAGATCGCAAACTTAAAAAGGCAATTCAATGTTTGAAACGGTCACTTGGGAAGAAATTAAAAATGCTGGAACAACCTTTCCCATCCTTTTTTTTTTTGGAACAACGCAGGGACCGATCACCGTTCATCTTTACGTCGGAGATGCAGCATTTCATCACAGGCGGTGGGCAGAAGCCTCAGCGCTTGCATCGCTTTGTGGAACTCTGCTGTGAAGCTTACAACATCATCAGACACCGATCTGGCCTCATACTCAGCCTGCTGGAGCTCGTAAGGCCAAACATTTTCTCTTCATGACTGTGTTACACTGCCCCTCAGTGGCCAAGTTGCACACAACAGAAGAAGATAACGCCCAAACTATTGACTTTTAAAATTCGATTTGATGACTATTATATGCTTTTGGCAGATGTAATAAACTACATTTGAATCCCATTATTATTTTTTTTTGGTGTATGTGTTTGCATTGTCCCCAGATGACCAACGCAGGAATGCCCGAACTGAAGGACTATCATGATCTGCAGTACGTCCAGAGAAACCTCAGACCGCACAACACTGACCTGGAAGCCACATCCTACTTTACAAAGTAACTTAAAACACACTCATAAGTCATATATCCTTAAAATAAATTGCTAACAACAAATAAATGTACTGAGCCATCCTCACAATTTTGTGTTGAGTGCCTTTGGACGAGCCAGTTCTGTTCATTCACTGATAGCATAAGCCAACCTTTTTCTGATTGAGTACCTTGAAGGATGAATGGCGCTCTATGCAATGCAGCCCTTTTACACTTGATATAATTTAATTAGATAAAATAGAATTTAATGGAACCCTCCATCCATTTTATAGAACTGTATTTCCCGCACTATAAGGCACACTTAAAATCATTCAATTTTCTCAAAAGCCAAGAGTGCCTTCTCATCTGATACACCTTATATACGGATCAATATTCTGATTTCTTGGACATAGTATTTTAAAATGGTCTGTAAAGCGCTTTGTTACAGATGGAGCTCTATAAATAAAGCTGTATTGTATTGTATTCCCTTTAGCGTAACTCCATCTAGTGGATGCATATCATCACCACAGTCACTATTGTAGCTTCTTTTAATGTGGTGCGCCCTATATATGAAAAGTTTTAAAATAGGCCATTTAGTGAATGTAAGGGAAAGTGATAATTGGTGTCAAGAAAGCATGTTGAAGTGATGCATTTTCAACGACTCTCAAATCGTTTTAAGTCTGGGAAGCTGAATTTAGCCTGTGTTGTTCATGGAAGTTACGGAGAGTGTTCACCGTATGTGTGTAGATTTCGCTGCTGAGTGTCTGCTAAACAACTTATGCTCATTAATGACAGAGGTCACATTATTGCTTGACGGTTGCAACGGGTTGCCAACAGTCAGTGGTGTGGTGACGTGTCAAGTGTATGCGGTCGATCAGCATGTGCCATTGTGTCTTTTGTTCAGGAAGATCAAGGAGAGCATGGGTTCTGTCACGGTTAAGCTAAACTTCCTGACACACAGCATGGCCCAAGGGAAGAAAGCAGCGGCGCCCATCCGTGATGGCGTTCCTGCTCCGAGCACCAACATTCAAGACGCCGTCATCCAGGACTTTAGCATCAAGGACAAAGTTGCAGTGAGACCAAGTTTAATTGTCATTATTATTATTATTATTGTTATTATTATTATTATTGTGTCCAACTTAAAACTGAAAAATCATAATGCACGAACAACACTGGCTTTTGTCACCTCTGCCTCGTGTCAGTGTTGAGAAAGTATCCAAAAGCCAATCAGTCGGGCTTTTTTTTTTTAATTTATTGCTCCTTTTTAATTGTCAGATCTACGACCTGAGATTGACCATTGACGATGGCTATTGGTACAACGAAATGACATTTGAGAACTTTGAGCTGATCCATAAGCAACTGCAGAAACATTTCATCGAATCTGCGATACCTCAGTGAGTCCACAGACAAGCGTCCATCGCACTCTCCCTGTATCCTAGCACGTTGTCTTCTTTTCGTTTCCAGGTTCCCGTCCTGGTATATGATGTCATTCAACCCCAATAGGAAAATGTCTCAACTGAATAAATACCTCAAACAGCTTTTTGAGGGACCTTGCAAGGGAGTATGTTTGCTTGATAATGTCCAATTTCGTTTTGTCGTTTTTGTTTTTTTGTTTTTTTTTTTTAGCTTTAACTCATATGCCTATATCTGCTCTTCAGAATGAATTTGTGTGCAGCTTGTTCTTGGATGGGCCCAAAGTGGTGAAAGAAAATGTGGTAAAAGGTCAATATCCACTCATCAGCCACAGCATTCGGTACGCCAACACAATTGAGTAAAATTGAGTAAGCCTGAATGCAAGAGCTCCATCAGAAGTTTGATAAACTTTAACTGTCAATTCTAGCTTGCATCATAATGGGGTGTTTTTTTTCTTTTAATACATTTCTGTCACCTTACTTAGAGACAAAATATCAGAAATCAAACTTGGACAATATTGTCTTCAGAATCTTTAATGCAGCTCTTGAAGTGGCTCTCACCCAGTTGTGCTTGTGTACCTCATTAAGCATCTAGTATGACGAACTGGGTGTCGTGAAGTGTCAACTTGTGATTTCCCATTCCAGAAGCTTGTCCTCAAATCCAGCTGTGCATTTCTTACGAGGGCTGTAAGCTCTCAGTCTTGGTAAAACACCTCAAGAACATTGTGAGCTTGCCACACGGAAGGAAAAACATCGCATGTTCTTTCTTATGAATTTAAAAGCCTTTATTTTTTTTTCCTTTCTACAGAAGATGCCCAATGGCTCCAACCCTGACGCCTACGTGATCACGTGTCTGAGACCGGATCCCCAGCGGAAGTCCAAGAGGAAGACTAAAGTGGTGCGGAATAATGACAGCCCCACATTCAACGAACTGGTACAATGATTTTATTTCTTATACGTTAAATTGTAACAATATTGTGTTTTACAAAGGGAAATGTACATTATCACTGTACATTAAATACAATAACTACATATAAAAACAGGATGTTGTTGGATGGCAGAAGAACGGTGGATAAAATATACGGTTAAAGTTTTCCAAAATTCCAATTTGACATGCAGAGCTGTTCGACTTGACTTGTCCCCAAATGTTTTGTGACGTTCACAGCTGGAGTGGTCTAATGTCCCCCTGCTTTATGGGATGGTGCTGGAGGTGAGCGTGAAGAGCAAGAAGACGTTTGTCGCTGCCGCCAACATCAAACTGGACGAGGAGCTGCTCAACAAGGAGACTTGGTTCACATTGGGAAACTCGGCACTTTGACCTGACTTGTTGCACTGCGGGCCTGAAGCCGACAGGGGGCGCAAGCCCAATGTCTTTTGGCTCAACTACAATGTAGTGATCGACTGCGGATGAAGTTGCAGCTGGAAAAAAAACTAATGGAAGTACTGTACACTGTTATGTATATGTACTGCAGTAGCTGAACGCACTGACTAGTTGTTTTTAAATGCCAATGAATTGTTGAAATCATGATCATAAAAATTATCTCGTACATTTTTCCCCCCAGTCGATTTCTTTTCTCTCTATCACGTAATGCTGGATGGACAAAAAATATTTGGACAGGTTTGTAGGAAAAATTTGCACACACCGTCCCTTGACTGTGACCCCATGAACTAATTTTTGGCTGCCCTTTTTTTTCAGGCAATGCTATGGCCTGACTAAATGAAACTCCTCACCTCACTTCAACATAATTGAAGATGCCACTGGATGGAAACAAAGCAATAATTATATTTTACACACAGCGAGTATTAGTTGGGGGTGGGGGGGGGCTTTAAATGTATCGGTACGGGTGTAAAAAGTTTTATACATTGTATGTCTTTTGGTGTGAAGTTCAGACATTAGGGGACAGCAAGAGAACAAAATTGGCTTTTTGTTTATACCAGTGATTGTCAAAAGTGTGGTATCGGCCGCCTGTAGTGGTGTGCCAAAAAGAATCATTCACTTGGTACAGTTCGGTTGCATTTAACTTTTAATATCAGTACACTTGTCTTTGTTTTTAAACATTTGTTTCGGTGAAATTTTTATTTACATTTTTGTGCTCACTGAAATAAGAAGTTTTTTTACATCGAAGTGAAAACTTCACTTTGTGTTTTTTTTCTGGGTGGTACTTGGTCTAAAATCTTTGAGAACCACTGGTTTAAACACGACCACATTTAAGGACATTCACAATCTAACAGCAAAAGCTTCAACGTTTTTTTTCACAATGTCCAACAACTTCAGTTTTGGCTGAAAATGGAGTACGAGACTATTGGAATGTCACTGAAAGTCAAATTTGTAAATTATTTTCATACTGCGCTGACATCACCTTTCTCCGTGATGCAATTCTAAATTTGTTAACAAGGTTGTACAATCATGTGGACGGCAGCACCAGGCCTGAGGGACTCAAGTTTGACACCTTTGCTAATTTGTGTGTCTGTGTGTGAGAATAAGATGTTATTTAAAAAGAAAAAAAAGAAAACACCTTTGCCCATTATTAGTGGGTAAGACCCCCTTTCCCACAATACCCCTCACCGGTCACATAGTTCCTTGTGTTATCTTAATGGTATCCTCCTGCTCACAGCTCTTCTCTCACCATTTCATTTATTGGATTTGGTGATGAAGCCAGACTGAAATAGACTTTTCTTCACTGCATATACTTCAATAATGTATACCTGTGCGGATGCTATTTATACGATTCCCTTTTGGATTCTGCACGTGGGAAGGACGGAGTGTTGCTTGGGGCGGGTTAAAAAAAAAAAAAAAAAAAGCCTTTTTTCAGGGTAGAGGCCATGGAGCGTTACTGTGACCTGGCATCTTTCATTAGGTCTCAGCCACAGCAAAAGCGTCGGATTTATTGCTCTGGGAGGGAAAACAACTTTACTGGCATTAACCGAACTCACATCAAATATTAATTTTGTCACACGAAGCGACAATCTCACATGAGGGATTTTGCCCTTCATTTCGGTTTGTACAAGCTGCAAACAGATTTTTCGCAGGGCCGCTTGTTGGAGTGTTCTGTTTTTTTTTTCCCCCCTCGTGCAGCACTGGCAGGAATATAGCACATCTATTTTCACACAATAAAACTGATATTTATAACTGAGGAAATGCAATTGCTTTGATTTATTTGCATCCTTTTGTTGCTGCTCCGCCACACTCGTCTCTGTTGGCGGCGTGTGTGTGTTTTGCTATAGGTACGTGTGAGCCGGTTTAGGAATACCAGACAAAAACGAAAAGAGAGGCTGGATCCAAGTTGCACCCGTCTCGGGACCGAAGAGGTACCCAGCGATAGCCTGGAGGTATTAAAAAAAAAAAAAGAATGTGTGTGGGGAGGAACACTGTTTAAATAGATAAAATACAACAGATAAATTGTCTCAACAAACCTTTCTTCAGGCTGCTGAAGGGCAGCGTGTACTGACCCACGAAGTCACTTGACAGAAAGCCGGTCTGGTCTCGGACACAAAAGCGGATGAGACACAGGTCGGGAATGCTGATGCGGAAGTTCATGTCGGTATCCCAGAAAGGATTCAAAGCTGCAATAGTCATCAACTTCTTCACTCAGCTTTACTGGAAAGTGCAATTGCTTCATTCATTCATTCATTCATTCATTCAAGCATGTCACTGGGGCCAGGTGAAGCAGATGTATGGGTGCATCAAAACATAGGCCGTATAATGCATGTGTGTGTGTGCATACATGTTTGGAACTATGTATAATTATGGTCAACATTTTCCATGAGAAACATGGCAAAAAAAATCTAGAATATTCAAAAACATTGAAAAAAAATCCATCAACAGGGGAATCCACAGGAGCTAGGGGAATCCCTGACACTCCACTGCAGGGGCCAGAGCCACCCTACAAAATGGCCACTGGGCCAGTTACTACATTTCCCAGCATGCCTCCCAACCTAAACGGGTGTGACCACTTAAGCCACCTGATGAAAGTGGTCTGGCGGAAGGAGAACAAAGAAGTTGAGGCACAGGGAAGAGGTGAGTGCAAAGACTTGGGGAAAGTTAAGAGGAGGACATTTTTTGGAGGAAAGTAATTTTTGATTTGCTAAAGAAGAAATTGGTATAGTAGTGTGGCTGGCACCGGACTGGATTTTTAATTTGATTCAGTCAACCAGTGACACTGATTGTACTACAGTTTAGATTTAGTTTTTTGTTTGTTTTGTTTTGTGGAATCTTTTGCATCAGTGGATTCTTCCTGCTTTGGTGCATTTCTCTTGATGTCGCAATACATAAAATATAATTGCAGGGTACGCCCTTCTCAAAACTGAAGTTTCTTATTTTGAATTTGTTTCATCGAGCAAAACTCGAAATCCTTTGATACTTTTGTGAAGTGTGTGACGGTCACAGACATGACGCTGGTGATCCATGTCTTAAAAGAAGTAGTGCCAAAAAGCCAAAGAAAAAGCACAACCCACCCAAAGTTAATACCGTAATGCTCCCAAAGTGAGGTCTCAAGGAATTTTCATGACCTTTTGGTGTGTATTTTTCTGTCAATTTTAGCATGATTTTAAAATTTTCTCTGCACATTAGAGGTGGGCAGCATGGTGAGTTGTGGTTAGCATGCCTGTCTCACAGTCTATATAGATCACTGGTATCAAAGTCAAGGCCCGGGGGCAGATCCGGCCCGCCACATCATTTTATGTGGCCCGCGAAAGCAAATCGTGTGTCAACTTCCATGATCCTTGCTTAAATTGGTACCGAAATCTCAAATTGTCATCCGTAATAAATAACGGTAACATTTTGCAATACGTTTGTTCCCGTGTTTACGCTCACTTGAGCAATAATTGAACAAATACTTGATTGATTTCAAAACTAGTGAGACATCATTTGTTTTTGTGTACAAGTAATAATACGATGTGATGATTAAACATTTATTGGGTTTCACTGTCGTAACGGCCCTCTGAGGGAAGATGTAACTCAGAAAGGGCCCGTGACAAAAATGAGTTTGACACCCCCCTGCTATAGATCCTTGACCTGTAGCTAAATCTCTCCTGTGCAGCGATGTTGGTTCCAAAAACATGCACGTGACATAATTCAAGACTCTTAATTGTCCATAGTGTGAATGTGAGTGTAAATGGCTGAAATGCTCTTTTTGACAATGAATAAATGTAAATGTTTTTTGGTTTCCTTAAAAGTGAAACATTTTAAATATGCAAGGATTCTGCCTGACACCAGAGATGTGTGCCTTGCACCGGGGCCGGCAACCAGTCCAGGATTTCCCTGTCTCACGCCCGAAGTTACCCGAGAGAGGCTCCAGCATTCTCGTGATCCGTATGAGGACAAGCGCTTATAGAAAATGGATGGACTTTAGAGGTCTACAAAATTTCAACTGAGATTTGTGTTTGCACTGGGGGGGGGAAAAAAAAAAAGTTTGTTGACATTCTCAAAACATGCCACATTGCATTGAGAAATTTCAACAGAGATTTGTGTTTGTACTGGGGGGGAGGGAAGCTTGTTGACATTCTCAAAACATGCCACATTGCATTGATTGATTGAATTCTGTTCAGGTGAAAGTTAATGTGGAAAATTCTTGCATGATTCGCGTTTTTAATTTTGTTAACCGTCCACAATTCTGACTTTTCAAGCAAGACTGAAATTCAATCAAAACATTGGAAGAAGCACAGAGCGCATAAATGAGACGGAATGCTCTCAGCAGAATCTCGCAGCGCTTGTCCTCAGTCTTAAAATGAATGTCAAGGCTGGCAGAGTGATGAGTCATTCAAGTTGTGACTTAAGACCACCACCCTCTCCCCACACACACACACACACACACACACACACCGTCAAGGCTGGCAAAGTGATGAGTCATTCAAGTTGTGACTTAAGACCCACACACACACACACACACACACACACACACACACACACAAGCATGTTGGCGCTAAAGTACTTACAGTTGTTTTTGACTGTGTTTGTGGTTTTTTTGTTGCAGTCTGATCCAATCCCGTGAATATCAACTCTGACAAAAGGATCGAGAGCCTTGCCACTTCTCGGAATTGGTAGGTTGGACCCACAGATCACCTGTTGCCAAGCATATGGAATGTACATAGTTCCAGTTGGGATTGAATTTCTGGCCATTAAAAAAAAACATAACCATTGCATCAAGTTGCCAATTTCATGCTAAAAACAGGCGGGGAGGGGGCGGCAATGTCATGAATGGAGATTAACCCTTTCATGTACCCTGTAACCCGATAACATGATAAACTGCCCACTGGAGTGACCGCTGGCCCCGAAAGGGTGAATTGGAGCAAGGAACTGATGGCAATTGCACCTTAGACATCAAAACAGTTGGTAATGTACCGCACCATAATGAACTGGAACAGAGGAGTTCCTGAATCGGTCCCACTGCTCAAAAAGACACATAAGTTGGCCATTGAACATCTAAATCACTCATCGAAAACTCTGTGGTCAGACGAGACAAAGCGCCGACATTTGGCGTCGACACCGATGGGTGAATGGGTGCTCCCCTGTCACATGGCAATGCCTCCATGTAAAGAGTCGGGGATAATTTATGACAGATAAATGGCGCCCTTTGCAAGACAAGACTCAAACTGGCCATCATTGCACTGGATAGTGGAAGAAAAAGTCTCGAAAGGCGAAGTGGTGCAAGTTGTTCACTGCTGGCTGGGTGGTTCCAAGTAATTATGATGTCAGGAGAATTGTACTTTCTGATTCTAATACTAGTTCCACAATCACATTTTTCAGTGTGGACATCTTGTCAAGTCATTCGTGCCAGAACCGCCCCTGGGGGCCAACACATTGACACACGGTGGCCACAAGATGCCCACATAACAGCAACCACAACAATCAAATTTTTTTTTTAATCGCTCAACAACCCAAATTAAAATACACAAAACACGCACGCTGATATTATTCTTTTATCCATCTCGAGTGGGTCGGTTGCGTGTTGCCAAATAGGCAATAATACCTTGAGCAGCAAGTGTGTTGGTGGAACGCCGCGTTGACCGCAGCTCGGATCAAAGCTCCTTTCACGAGACATGAGCACGGCAGGCTTAAGGACGTAGCCGCAGCCGCCGTTGTCTTGGAAACGGCCATCATTAAGGTCCATGGGCAATCCCGGCGACTGGAAATTGAGTGCCACTGCAAAGTACAACGGGGCATTCGTTAGTTGGATAATCAAAAGAACACATAAAAATGTATGCCTTCGATTTTCTAAACTTGGAGGAGGAAGCGACTTGCAGCAACACTGCATGTTGCATCAGGGAGCCATTCAAGAGCCCCAAATTTGCAAGAAGTGTAATTCCCTTGCCGCTGTCTGCTTCATGCAAAATGTCCCGAGTCGTTACGGATGAGAGCCAGAAAAACAGATGTGATCTTTTTGGGAAACTTTCGAGCACGTCATAATTCTAATCGCCAGCGGTAACCATCCGTCTGCATCACTTGAGAGAATTTTCTGCTGATTTAATGGTGATTGATCCATTCCAGCCTGTCTGGCACTGCGGCGTCTTTCAGCATAGCAAAATATCACCATCTGCACAGTCTGCGGGGCATCATGTCAGGCTGACTTTGTGGCAGAGGAAGACAAGCAAGGCGGCAGACCGAACAACAAAAATAAGTCGCACCGATTCAGTGGCTGTGACTTTTTCGCCAGCGAGCAATCAGGCACTACCGGAATCCAGAATGAAAATTGACATTACCTAAAAAAAGGACCAGAGGTTTTGCAAGGCTTCGGGGAAACATTGATTAGGCGGCCATGCTGTGGACTGCAAAGAAATTTTCTTTTCGTCGCTAATTAATACAATTCCCTTTTGATTTTGGACAAAGTAACTCACCGAACACAACTTTTCCACCTTTTGATCCACACACAATAAGAGCTAATCCCTGAACTTGTCACTAATATGTCTGAGCCATTTAATATGGAATTCGCTTTTCAGATATTCTATGCGCTGATGAGTATATTACGGGTACACGGGTGCATGTTGTTGCTGTCAAATTAAAACGATATGTAAACGGTATGTAAATGTAGCCAAACTCGCAGGCATATATTCTTTATCCTCTGCATGAAAAAACCCTAATAGATGGGTTCGCTGAGTGCGGCCCGGGGTCGACTGGTTAGCGCGTTGGCCTCACAGTGCAGAGATGCAGGGTTCGATTTCGGCTCAGGCCTTCCTGTATGCAGTTTGCATGTTCACCCCGTGCCTTCGTGGGTTTTCTCCGAGTACTCCGGTTTCCTCTCACATTCCAAAAACATTCATAGCAGGCTGATTGAACACACTAAATTGTCCTTGGTTGTAAGTGTGAGAGTGGATGGTGGTTCGTCTATGTGTGCCCTGCTGTTGGCTGGCAACCGGTTCAGGGTGTCCCCCAACAACTGCCCAAAGACGGCTGGGATAGGCTCCAGCATCCGCCCCTCCCGCACCTTTGTGAGGATAATGGATGGATGGATGGATGGATGGATGGATGGATGAGTTCACTGAGTCACTTGCAGTAGTTGATTGTCCATTCGTGCCCACCTGACTGTATTGCACTGCCCCTGGTGGCCGTGTAACACACACCAGAGGTGTGCTTAATTCTTTACATTCTATTTGGAGACAATTTATGTTTCATAAAGCACAAGATGATAAAGAGAGAATTTTTGAATTGGTTTGGGAAAAGGTTAAGACAGATTAACGGCATAACCATGCAATGGGGAAATAATTACGGATACAAGCACGGTTATGGAACAAATTAGTTGTATCTCAAGGCACTGTAAGGCCTGTTTCTCAGGCACCCACAACATGTGGGTTCTTGCCCTTTTGTCTCCAGTCGGATTGTCTCTTTGACCCACCGAGCTGCGAGCCGACGTTCCAGAACTCTTGAGGGTTGTAGTTGGACGAGGACGTCCTGGAGCCTGCTGGATAAATCCTGCTGAGGAATCTCTGGTTGTGCAGAACAAAGTCTTTACCTGTAGACAAAGCGCGCACCGCATTCAATAAGATGAAACAACATTTATCATACTAAAATGCTACAGTGGCTAGCATGCAAATATCCTGCAAAGATGTACTATATATTCTAAGAACGGGTACCAATACCAGGTTCTTGGTATCATGCAAATACCAGCTTTTTTTTTTAAGGTATCGAGTAATCGTGGATGTTGCTGATGCCAACCACCGATACTCGAGGCAAAAAAAAAAAAAATCTGTCCTCCTCAGCAGTAGTTGGTGTTATATTGCAGACATTTTACATATTAGTGAATCATCATCTGTGTCAGAAAGGCCTTTGTGAGATTTTTTTTTTTTGTCATTGTGTTGTTTTTATTTATCAAAAGCACTAGAGGTACCGGTACTTGGTATCCGTGAGTATTGAAGAGTGAATTCTTGTCCTGGTACGAGTCTGGAAAAAACCCATTCCAAATACATTCACTCCATTTGCCAATGTGGCTAAAACACTTGCTATCAGTTTGGTAACACTTGTGTCACCGCGACTGCGAATTGACAAAACATCTCACGTCGTAGCTGCAGCAAGATTTTCTTGTAAACAACTGCACACCAGGCAGCGGCAGTGCCGACAGTTTAAATGACGGATGATAAGAGCCACCGTGGACTCATTTCACTTCCATGACAATGACGAGGCCAACTTTTTCCCCCTTTTTTTCTTTTTTATCCCTAGTGGACTCTCAGTAATATATGCCGTGTTCAATATGCTCTTTGGAGAACTATGACCAAAGATTAATGCTTTCGCACACCAAAAAGACTCCTGCGGGGATTTGTCTTTGAGCTCGGCGTGCTTGTAAATCATTCAAATCGGCTGCTCTCCACGAAATGACACCTCACAGTCAAGCTTGGCTTCCTTTTTATGTGTGACTCTACCTGAAACTTTGGCCAGCTTGCGGGCTTTTTTCTCCGCCATGGACGTGTTCTCACACGAGTTCTGACTGTCTTGGGAGTGACCGAAGCTGATGAACTTGACAGACACGGTGTATACGACGAGGTCGGACAGAGCGTCCGCCACCACCACCCTCTTCTTCTACTCATTGCGTTCAGATGGGACAGAGACAAGAGAGCAACAAGAGTGGATGTCAGATATCATAAGAGGTTTTTTTTTTTTTTTTTTGTCTGAACAGCGTCTTGGCTTTTTAAGAGCAGCCGCAGCCTACAACCTGTTTCAACGGCCCTGACTCACTTTCTTCTTTGAGCCTGCCTTTCTAGGAGACCAGAACCTTGATCTACTCGGTTGATCCTCCTCTTCCTCCTCCTCCTCCTCTTCCTCCTCCTCCCAGCCCTCATCTGCACTGTCCTCTGTCCCCGATGCTCCATCTATCCTAGCGCGAGGCTTTAGCTTTTTATTCTTGATCAGGATCTTATACTTGAGGTCCTGCGTGACCATTTACACACACACACACACACACACACACACACACACACACGCACACACACACACACACACACACACACACACACACACACACACACACATAGCTCCAAACTGTCTTCAGTGGGGCTTAAGTGGTTTCGACCAATGCCTCGATGGCATGGTTTTTATCAGTATGGCTTTTTTCCAAGTATTCTTCTTACATTTGGGCTGGGGAGGTCACCCGTGGTTGGGTGATCCAAGCGTAGATCAAGCAGCTTGTCCCCTAGTATGGAGGTGAGGTAGAGGGCCATGACTTCCTGCTGCTCCTTGGAACAATGGTTCTCCAGCGACAAGATTACCGGGTATACAGAAACCTGCCAGAAAACAATTTCATTGACAAAATGGCACTCAAAGACACATTACAATTTTAAATGAAGCTCATCTAGCTCATTGGGCGGTGGAGGGCAATGAGGAAACAATCGGAACACACCAGAGGTTCTACTCTATTTCATCGTACTGAGCGTTACCTCAAAGGCATACTGTGACACAGTCGAGATGACGTCCTTGAAGAGAATTTTTGTGGTCAGGGTATAACCGTGGTAGACGATAGGCTCCATCCCTGGCCCATCCCAACAGTCAATCTCCAGACAGCGGCAACCTTTCCTCAGAGCACTGAGAGTCCAAACATGTTTTAACATACAATACCCAGTGCATTGAGAAACCTCTGTACTAAATTAGGTTTTGTACTTTTTTTTTTTTTTTAGGATGGGGTGGGGGGGCTTTCAGAAGTCACGAGCCCTTATTAGCAGGACATGTGGCTGACTATTTGTTAGCATTAATAATGTTCCTATCCACCCATCCATTTTCTACGACTCGTCCTGTTCAGAGTTATAGGGGATACAGAAAGAGACTGACTACATTCTGGACCACTTGCCAGTAAACCACATGACTTACAGAACATGGACAAACAACCATTCACACTCACATGCATGCACAAAGTGGTTTAACCCTTTCAGGGACAGCGGTGACTACAGTGGACAGCTTATCATGGTTTCAGGTTACAGGGTGCATGAAAGGGTTCGTGACTCTTTGTTGTTTTGAGGAAAACCGACACATGCACGCAGTAAGGTCCAAGTTAAGCTTATTGAGGACCCACAAAATTGAACATATCTGGCGTTGTGCTTTACTCAAAAGCCCAAGACACCTTTTCAAGTAGAATCTATGCTTTCACTTAAAGAAAAAAAAAGTAAAAGGTCAGAGCAGGGGAAGAAAGTGGCCGCAAAGGAGATTAGTGGTGCAGTCTCCCAGAAAAGTGAAATGGCTGGAGTTTTATTAAGACTAAAGAAAGGCACCGGTGACTTGTCTTGATAGTAAAAATGGTTTTAACGTTTTCTCATGAAAAACAGGGTGCTTGTTAGTTTACGCCATGTCTAGTATGTGATGAGACGTGTTAATCACTCAGTTACCGTCCTGCCTGACTTGCAATCGGTTGATCCCAAATCATATTCAGTTTTCAAACTCCAGCTCTTTCCCAGGCGAATTTGTGAAACCATTTAACGTATTTCGACGGCAAGTTGTAAATGTACGACACAGGCTTACCAAACATAGGCGTCCAGGTGGCTTTCGCCTATTAGTTGGTCTCCTGTCAAGTAGGTGTTGTGCGAGGAAGAAATGAAGTAGCTGCTGAGTGGCTGGTCCATGTCTTGGTACACAGACTTGTGGGTCTGATCGAAGATGCAGCAGTCTTTGGACTCCATGTAGCGCAGGAAGCCTTCAAATGTCATGCACTGACTTTCTATGGCTGCAAGAGCATGTGCCAGCAGGGTCACAATTAGTTCAGCCATTTTCTATACTGCCAGTCAATCGCAAGGCCAAGAGAGGCATCAATATATCATTTTCACTTGCATCCATTGAGTCATTGAGTGGGAAGTGAACGCACGCTGTCCACACAGAAGTAAGGCTTTGAAATAGTTTTACAATATTGTAAAAACTACATGAGCAACTGTTCTTTTCACATGACAGCTAGCACTCTAATTTCGTGAGCAGCACAAATCTGGTGAGATGCGCCATCTATCTAGAGAGAGGCGCATGAGGCTGCATGTTAGTTATTTCGCAGGTGCGTGCAAGCCGGCATATTTAAAACAAACAAAAAAAGGTGGTTTCCGCCATGGAGGGTGTGAACACAGCCAACCTCAGTCACTTTATTTGATTTGCATTTTCAATTTTAGGTCTGTGACCGATTTCTCTCATGGCCATGACGTTGCCTGAATTTGTCCTTAAGTCAGACGTTGTGGTAGTGCGATCAGTAACATAGATAATTAATACAATAATAAGTTACAATTGCACTTCTACGCCATAAATGTTTCGAGTAATTTCTTACCAAAAAAATTTTATGATGAGTCACTTCAAAACGTCAAAATCGCATTAATATTACTACGGAAAATCGGACGGCAACAGATTGTTTGACCTCAGAACTGTGAATGCTTTTACGAGATCACATTGTAGGTGTGTACTGGTAATCTTATGATGAGCAAAGTGTCAAGATGATGTGCTTTACAGCAAAGCTTCCCAAGCCATATTTCCCCCAGTGGGGTCAGTTTTCTCCCCACTCACCTGCCTCCTCAATTTCATATCTCTCGATCAAACTCTCGGCCGTGCCCTCGTCGGCAGCGAGCTCCAGCTGCTCCTAAAAAAAAGTAAAAGGTCAGAGCAGGGGAAGAAAGTGGCCGCAAAGGAGATTAGTGGTGCAGTCTCCCAGAAAAGTGAAATGGCTGGAGTTTTATTAAGACTAAAGAAAGGCACCGGTGACTTGTCTTGATAGTAAAAATGGTTTTAACGTTTTCTCATGAAAAACAGGGTGCTTGTTAGTTTACGCCATGTCTAGTATGTGATGAGACGTGTTAATCACTCAGTTACCGTCCTGCCTGACTTGCAATCGGTTGATCCCAAATCATATTCAGTTTTCAAACTCCAGCTCTTTCCCAGGCGAATTTGTGAAACCATTTAACGTATTTCGACGGCAAGTTGTAAATGTATGACACAGGCTTACCAAACATAGGCGTCCAGGTGGCTTTCGCCTATTAGTTGGTCTCCTGTCAAGTAGGTGTTGTGCGAGGAAGAAATGAAGTAGCTGCTGAGTGGCTGGTCCATGTCTTGGTACACAGACTTGTGGGTCTGATCGAAGATGCAGCAGTCTTTGGACTCCATGTAGCGCAGGAAGCCTTCAAATGTCATGCACTGACTTTCTATGGCTGCAAGAGCATGTGCCAGCAGGGTCACAATTAGTTCAGCCATTTTCTATACTGCCAGTCAATCGCAAGGCCAAGAGAGGCATCAATATATCATTTTCACTTGCATCCATTGAGTCATTGAGTGGGAAGTGAACGCACGCTGCCCACACAGAAGTAAGGCTTTGAAATAGTTTTACAATATTGTAAAAACTACATGAGCAACTGTTCTTTTCACATGACAGCTAGCACTCTAATTTCGTGAGCAGCACAAATCTGGTGAGATGCGCCATCTATCTAGAGAGAGGCGCATGAGGCTGCATGTTAGTTATTTCGCAGGTGCGTGCAAGCCGGCATATTTAAAACAAACAAAAAAAGGTGGTTTCCGCCATGGAGGGTGTGAACACAGCCAACCTCAGTCACTTTATTTGATTTGCATTTTCAATTTTAGGTCTGTGACCGATTTCTCTCATGGCCATGACGTTGCCTGAATTTGTCCTTAAGTCAGACGTTGTGGTAGTGCGATCAGTAACATAGATAATTAATACAATAATAAGTTACAATTGCACTTCTACGCCATAAATGTTTCGAGTAATTTCTTACCAAAAAAATTTTATGATGAGTCACTTCAAAACGTCAAAATCGCATTAATATTACTACGGAAAATCGGACGGCAACAGATTGTTTGACCTCAGAACTGTGAATGCTTTTACGAGATCACATTGTAGGTGTGTACTGGTAATCTTATGATGAGCAAAGTGTCAAGATGATGTGCTTTACAGCAAAGCTTCCCAAGCCATATTTCCCCCAGTGGGGTCAGTTTTCTCCCCACTCACCTGCCTCCTCAATTTCATATCTCTCGATCAAACTCTCGGCCGTGCCCTCGTCGGCAGCGAGCTCCAGCTGCTCCTTGTGGAGGAAGCTGAGCAGGGAGCAGGCAGGTAGCGTGGTCTGGCCTGACGCGTAATTGTTGAAGAGGTTCTGGATCTCTCCTCTCCTGGTGGACTGGGCCTTGCTTTTTCTCATTTTGATCTGCAAACAGCCATTTGGACTCTTCGAAACCCCACCTGAGCCTTTTCTATTATTATGATGTCGCTCTTAATAACTCCCAAAAGTCATGATTTTTGGATACGCTCCAGTGACCTTCCCCTGTGCTTGTCATTCCTATCACTCATTGAGATGCGTTTCCTATTTTTTTTGCATCTCACCCTCCCTACAGCCCCTCACAGTTGTGACAGTGGCTCAAACTAAAACTGATAATGGGTACCCAGCAACAGACAGTCCGTTCGGTGCATCTGTTCACCACGCAGTGCAAATAAAAGAACAGAATCGGCTCTCATCTTCATTCACACACTGGGCATCTGTGCCTACAGTGCACATGAAGGAACATCCTCTGCTATTGAAATGAAAGCATCGGGTTCGCCATTTTCGAAACTGCAGCCATGTGAAAGGCTTTCTGATCAATGTAATTGCATGGGAGTACTCAAGTGGTTGGACAGACATGCGTTTTCGTGTCACCACCACACTGTCACTTTTTTCTTTTTTTTATTTTAGTGATGAGAACTTTTCTCCAAATGTGCAGTATGCCGTAAAACAATTAAGGCTTGGATGATAATCGCCAGCTCCAAGTGTTTATCATACCTGCAGCAGTCCCTCGGCTTGAATGAACACGCACAGAAGTTATTGACATCTTCGTTCCTTCAGACTCTGTGAACCCTAAGGATGTATGAAAATAACTGTGTGTCACTAGTTCGAGTTTTCAGTGTGTTGCACATGTTGTAGTACAACACACCCTTATTTTTATTGGTTGCCAAATACCGCTTTCAACTTACCCAGGGTGCTGATTGAAATATTTGCTCAGTTCTGCGCAGTTTCCATTTCGATTCCTTTTTTTCCCCCAAATTTTCCCTTTTTTTTTTTTTAACTCGCACGACATGGAGCTCAATACTGTATGACATCACCTTTCAAGTTTTCTCTTGTTGACATCATCATAAAGTTGACATCATATGAAGGAGTTCTCCACCGATTCCTGTGAAAAGGCCCCAAAATAATGACACAAGATTCCTCAATTCAAATGACTTGAGATTGAGTATTTACTGGGACAGTTTTGCCAATGACATATTTGCACATGCATTGCATACCTCTGGACACACAAACATCGCCGTGCTGAACAGAGCAAGTACAAACTGGAGCCGTAGGCGCTACTCGGGAATCACTTGCTGCGTGGCAAATGATGGTAATTGACATTTACAAGTTCTCATATGCAACATTTTGACTGTGCTTTGGCTGGCCATTTGAGCAAAAGATTGTTCCTTTGGATTTGTAAGTTTGCATACTTTAGGTTCGAGTGAGTCGTTGCCATACATCATGAGCAACAAAAGCTCAAGTCAAAGCTATTCAGAAGATATTCACTGCAGCACTTGTAAACTTCTTCTTCATCAGTCTTCTGGATCTCTGGTGATAAGAAATGATGGGTCCATTTCTTTCCAGTCATTGGTTTTCTGTCAAAAAGATATCAAAGGACATTTTCCAGTCAGTATGGTACATTTGCACTTGAACGCGACTTCTGAGGCTGGTTGATGCTTCCTGCTTCATTTGAAGTCAAAATTATTGGTTGCCCACGTTGGATTTAGTGTAGCTGTGCACTTTACTTTGTTATGAAGAAGTTTCATTTTGACCTTAGCATAATCCTCACGATGGGTAGTTTCATTTGACGATTTTTTGAATGACTGCTTTTCTTGCTTTTCTTCCCATGTCAGCATCTTTTGGCTTCATTTCTGATAGTGTTTCAATGGTGACTTGATCTTGGGTGACAACCCCCCTGAGATTCGCTGCTGCAACCTGAGTCAAAAGTAGAGTCCTGCATATAATATTGTCATCAAGTCATGTTCACTTGGGAGTTTTCAATTAAGGATATACTGGCGGAATTATATTTACCTTTTGACCAGGTTGTCCCCGAATAAACCATATTCGGTGTTTGACTGATTTTACGAGTGACATTTAAGGTATCTATCTATATTGTACATTTTTCAGAGGCGGTCTTTGAACGTCTCTTGAGCCGACTCGAACAGAGTTGGCACGTCGTCGTGGAAGAGAGATGTGCTTGTATTTTTTTCGGGGGCGGAGTTTGGAAAATAATATATCTGCTTAAAAGACAACAAGGTAGCTCTTTGTGTCTCGGAGCTGCAACACATAAATATCTCTAACACATAAAAACAGTTGGAGTAAAGAAGTCCAGCTGCAATAGCAATTAAACAGTAGCCAAATAAAGGAGGGTTTGCATACCTTGTCCTTACTTGTCAGACACAGCCAATTTCAAATTGAATCTCATTGCCTCAGCCTAGTGCTCCACTCTCAAAAAAAGCGCTGCAACACTATTCTATATGACATCACCTTGAAACTTTTGGAAGCCTTTACATCACCGAACAGTGTTAGCATAGTACAAAAGGATGTTCCAATCCATCGTAATTTCGAAACCAAGCCATCAAAATATTCTTACATTGAATAATCTGAAATACCTTATAGTGACACTCTCATTCTGCATTGTAATAAATACGTTCTAATAGATGCAGAACAATTGGATTGTATGCATCTGACTTTTTAACCAGGCTCGTGGGAACACCATTCAGTCGTTACCATAGCGACAACCATTCCTCGTCCAAAGCTGTTTGAAGCAGCAGTTCATGTTAAATGTTGAACGACTATATCACGAGGTATGACCATAACAATATGTTAATAGTTGTGGTTGAGAGCTTTTATTTTTATCACCAATTACTACATAAAAAGCATATTGTTAGTGCCTCTTTAACAGGATCATTGCGCCTCTAAGGGCAGACAAGTTCTCTGCTGTATCTCATTAAGTCATGCAGGTAAACGTAATGCTTTGACTGTGGAGTGTAGACAGCAGATGAAGTTTAATGTAGTCAGTTTAGTAGTCAGACATAGAAACATTTGACTCTGTGAAGAACGCCTTTATGCTGCTAAGTCGCCGCAAAGCTAAATGTACATACAATTGCTGATTTTTATTTATTTATTTTTTTTACGACATTCTAAATGTTTTGGGGGCCTCTTTCTGATCTAAAAATGATTTTGTTGAATCTACTTGTCACGTGCTGACAGTTTGACAGCCCAGAGCTTTTGTTTTTCCATGCGCTGTGATTTGGATGAGATTAGTGCACATTCTACACAAAGCCGACACAGGCTTTTAGTGGGTGGTAGTTGGAATAATATGTCCAAAGCAAACCCAGCTTTCTGTTTTTTTCACTCAAATGAATTTAGGATGCATTTGGCAACAATGTGTTTACAAATTTATCTGACATGGTGGTAGTAGTAGTAGTAAGCACAGTTACATTACACAGTATAGAGGCCTCCCATTCAACTCTCACCCAGTCACCTGCCCTAATGAGGACAAACTATAAAAAGTACCGGTACATGGTTCGAAGTTTAATTGGTAATATCACTAATATCGAGTTGTAGCGTGTGTTTATGTGATTGTTACATTATATTTGCTTCAGTCCAGAGAAAATTATTGGTGCAAACTGTACTGCCAGTACAGTAAGACAAAAAAAAAAAACAAACAAACCTTGGATTCTGTCCGTTGTAATGAAATGCAATTGTCGCTCTTTCTCTCTCACTCACATTCACACACCCAATCGGAGTTTCAATGATAGTCAGCCAGTTAGTTAGTCAGTAGCGCCTTGGTTTTATGAACCTACATTTGCATGCCCAAAAGTGTGCGTCTCTCATTGCAACTCAAAAAGGACAGTTGTACTATCTGACCACCTGTAATGTTTGCTAGCAAGAAAAACGCCTTGGCAACACACTTGCGCGGGTCCTGAAGCTCAGTAAAGAAAAGGCGGGACAGATGGATCAAACCATTTGTGGCTCGAAAAGGTGGGCGGGAAGGTACGCTATTTTAATTGATAAAATATGTTTCTACCAACTACGAATGGTTTTAACATTTATCATACTTGTTAAAGGACATACAGTGAGTAAAATCTTAAGAGCTCTCAAATTTTGGGAGGATTTGTATTTACTTTCGGGGTGCTTCATCAACCCGAAAATGGACTTAACACGCCTATGAATCCAGACAATTGTTAATATTTGTCATTGAGAGTGCTATCTGTCGGCTTTTATGAGCATAGTAAGTGCTGCAGAGTGCACCGATCACACAAATAGTTGTTGCGACGATGCAGCTCGACTTTCACAATAAATAAAAAATTAAAAATATATAAATAAATGACATCCTCATTTAATGCATCTCGAAGCCAGCGCTGACGAAAAGCCAAACAAACCACAAGCGCTCATGTGTGCAAATGTCAGCGAAGCTTCAACAACAGATGATCGCTGACTAACTGTTGTTTGTTGATTCAGCACGCTCGCCAAGAACTTCCTTCCGCGGTTTGTCTGTCAAGCCGAATGTTATTGGTGTGGTGGGAAATCACTGGTGCACAACGCTGGTCACAGAGCTCGCTTTACAAGCGGGCTGCAATGGCTCAGCTCCAAGCCTGTCACAACCATTGGCCGTGCATGTTTGATGAGATAATTCCCAGCCAACGAACATGAAGCTGGGGTCTGGCCTCTGTCTCTGCATCAGTGCACCTCCGTCCGCAGCGGAGCAGTGCGCACGTTATCTCCCCTCTGCTACCGAGTGCATCAGTGTGCATCGCGGTCCAGATGTGCTTTCGTGAGCGCTTTCGATACGTATGTGGAGTTTACGTGCAGCTCGGTGCATCCGTGCACATCGTTTGAACTCCGCTGTTTGAGATGAACTGCGTGAGATCAAAGGGTGACAATGAGCTCGTCCACCGGTTCATTTCCGTTTTCGAAGTGGACATCGGGTCAGGCTGTGTTTGTGAATTATAACGAGCTCATTTGTCACACGACTCATTGGAGCTGCGAGTCAGGCGTGCAGCCAAATGACGGTGGCAATGGCTGATGTTGGATAGCCACTTGTGAGTAACTCTGGGTGTGTGTTGACAACTACAACTCTGCATGGTGTCGACATTTGCGTAACACCACCGCCCCCCATGTGACTTTTCAGTCAGGTATCCTTAAAAAGTGAGGAGTATATTTTAATGCAGCCATTTGTTCCTCAAATGAGTCAATCGTGATGAACAATTAAAGGTTTCCCACGTTTTCATTAGAATGTAACCATAGTAATGACTTCAAATGTAAAAGTTTGCGTTTGGTATTAGGAGGCTGCATGTTTGTCAAATTCCCTGGCTGTTTGGTATTGTTATTCTGTTCCATGGTTATTGCCTTAGCAAGGGGCCGATAGCCATCAACACAAGAAAATCAAAGTCCAGCAGCAAACGCGCTTTTGAAGCATCACAGTCTTCATTTTCTGATATTCTGTTGTTGGTGAGGAAGGCCGTTTTAGTGATTGGGGAGATAGCTCAGCTCGGGGAAATGACTGAGTTAAGAGTGACAGCGAGAGATATTCCTTTGTTATTCCACCCAGATTTGACAGAGGAGACATTGATCTGCCTTGCGCAGCCATTTTAAAGAACGTATAATAAAGCGAATACATGCAAAAGGCTTCCTCATGTGACAGGTCCTTTACATCAATTGCTTTAAGACACATTTGCTAGTTCCTCAGGCGTACAGAACAGAACGTCCCAGTGCTAGGAACACAATAGAGCGAGATTACAGGACACCCCCGTTGGCAGCTCCAAAATAAAACGACCGGTCTTTTTTTTTTTTTCTTCAGTGACTGTAATTATAACTTTTGTCACTATTTTGGCAGGAGAGACATGCAGTAACTGATTTGCTGATGAGCCATTGTTATTTTTTTCTCCTCATTATCTTTCGGTGCACTTATCAAAATACAGCAAAGCTACTTGCGTTGAGCCTCTATGAATGAACGGAACAGAACAATGTATGGGTGATACGAAATGCAGTGTGGCTATAATTAGAATGCAATGCTAATTTCGTGTGTTGCGGCACAATCAACAAAACTTGCTGACGACTGGTTTAATTATGGTTGACTTGAGGCAATGTGCCGGAATCTTCTGGAAACACGAATCCTCCCATATGTCTCAAAACATTTTTTTTCAGTGCCATCCCATAATTATCAGTGCAGTAGATTCAACGCTGTATTTGAGTGTAATGTGCCAGGCTCAAAATGTTCCACGGGTCTGAATGCGAGTGTGATAAATGGTCTCGGTGCGACCTGTGTTGACTGACAATCAGTCCAGAATACTAAACGGCCTGGACTTTTGAACGCCAGAGTCTTCGTCAGCCGAGTGGATGGGCCTATAAGGTAAAACGTATGGGAATATAATTAATATATCGATATGAGGCGGCACAGTGTTCAACTGCTTAGTGCATCTGCCTCACAGTGTAGAGGTGCAGGGTTCGATTCCAGCTCCCGCTTTCCTGTGTGGAGTTTGCATGCTCTCTCCTTGGGTTTTCTCCGGGTAAAACATGCATGGCAGGTTCATGGAACACTCGAAAAATTG